AGGCAGGCTCTGTGCCACTGAGCTAAATCCCCAGCCCGCCAAGTATTTATCTTAAATACAACCAATAAAAAATGATTATGAAGCTGGGTATAGTGGCACATGCCTGTAATCCCAGCACTTGAGAGGCTGAGACAGGAGGATCACTGCAAGTTCAAGGCCAGCCTGGGCTACAAAGTGAGCTCAAGGCCAGCCTGAACTGCATAGCAAGACTGTCACAACAACAACAACAACAACAAAAACTTATTATGATAGGTCACGAACAGTCATTTCTACATGTATTTTTGTGGTTATTCTATTAGGTAGGACTTGAATTATATATTAATTTAACAGAATCTAATAACTTAAAAAATAAAACCTGACTATAAACACATAAACAATTAAAACTAAATGTAAGGCACACCTGTCAGCAAAGAAACAACAGGCAGCAATATTCTACCATGACTGTAGTGCAACTTTTCATTCCATAGGACCTACCATTGTTAAGTCATGTTAGTTTTGATAGCTTTTATTTTTTTCTCTCATATAAATTTAACTGTAAAACTTTAATCCCACAAAAAAAATTTTTTTTTTGTCCTTTTGAGACAGGGTCTCGCTATGCAGTTGAGGCTGGCCTTGAGCTCACTTTGTAGCCCAGGCAGGTCTCGAACTCACAATGATCCTTCTGCCTCAGCCTCCTGAGTGCTGGGATTATAGGCATGCGCCACCCTGCCCAGCTCCAAAAACTTAATTCTAAGTATCTGCATGACTACCTATCATAGCAACTTAATTATATGTAAATATAAGTAAATATATTATCATATTTAATACATTAAAATGATTGTACAAAGCTGGACACGGTGGCACATGCTTATAATCTCAGCACAAGTACAAGCTTAGCCTAGGCAATTTAGTCACTTAATGAGACCCTTTTAAAAAAAAGGGCTGGAGGGTGTCACTCTGTGTGAAGGCCCTGGGTTCAATCCTCAACACCACCAAAAGAAAAAAAAAGATACTACATTCACTTTGAAAGGATTCACTGGGATTGCTGTCAAATATTACCTATATTACATTTATTATTAAAGTTATACTAAATAATACACAGTAGTCAAATTCTTGTTTCTTAAATGCCAAGAGTAGGATGGGAAATATATAGAGGGAAAACATTTCTTAACCTTGAGGTCTTCTTGAAAGTCATCTATAGTGCATGAGTGCATGTCCACGTGCATGCTCATACACACACTCATACATTGAGTAGTATGTCTTTGTTTTCTATGTACAGAGAAGCCTCTGAAATTGATACTCTCATCCATCTTTCTGGCCAACATAAGTGGTCAGATAAGACAGGTGCATAAAAGGAGAAGACACTGTTAGATATGCAATTACTATTTCATTTCAAATCTGAAAAGGACCATTTTAGTACCTACTATAACTTTAACATTATAAAAAGCCATTCAATTCTCAAGGACCAAATTCTTTGGACTTCTGAGTTCTCATTTACTATGCAGGCCTCTTCCTGGAAGATGTGTCAGTGTGCTAGGGCAGAAGTGATGCATGAGGAAAAAGGGCCAGTAGCTGAATCATGCACTGTGCCCAGTGGCTCCACCTACATGTCCCTCTTTAGTCTCCTTACCAAGTCTACACAACCCCAGTGCTCAGGCTTAAGGTCAGTGGTGGAATCACACTACAAAGCAGTATGGCTGCTCAACGCAGTGTTCAGCAACCTCACACTTGAACCGTCTAAGAAAGTCCCCTCATAAGGTGAGAATTTCTCAAGCTGATGCTGACAGTAGCCACTGATACTCAATGCAAACACCAAGGTGCACAATTCACAACTTTAAACACCTGGTCAAACTGCAGAAAGAAAACCACCCAATGTAGTAAGAGACTCACATCTGGCATTTCTGTAGAGAAGGAAAGGATCCTGGAGTTGGAAATCCAGGTCTTTAGTAATGGGTTCTGTTCTATTTTCCATGCTCAGCCTATTCATAATGGTGAATCCGTGTTCTGGAGAAGCAGACCTGAAGATCAGAAGTGGAGTGGGAAGAGGGGTCAAAGACAAGTTGTTCAATATATTATACATGCAATCTAACTATAAGGTGTGATCAAAATATACAGTGAATGCTTAAATTTTTAAAAAATTATAGTAGAAGACACACTGCCATTAATCCCCTTCAAAATATTCCCCCTCAATTCAAACACACCTTTCCCTTTTTAGCGGGGGAAGGTCTTTTTGAGACCTTTTGCTATGCAGTTCAGGTTGCCCTTGAACTCACTTTGTAGCTCAGGCTGGCCTAGAATTTGCAAGGATCCTCCTGCCTCAGCCTCTTGAGGGCTGGGATTACAGGCGTGCACCACCACACCGGCTAAACAAATTTATACTACTGTTGCCATTTTCTGAAGCAGTTCTGACAGACCTCATTTGTTACTGTCTTTATGGAGTGTGATTACAAAAAAATGCAATGAGAGCTTCTGCCAAATGTCATTCAGTGGAAGATCAGGCGTGTAAAAGCACTGCTGTGTATCCTCATCTGCTTTCTTCCCTGGGTCCGGCACTGTGCAGCTTCTGGCTCTTCCCCAAAGTCAAACTGACCACTGTAGGCTGGGAATATAGCTTAGTGGCAAAGGGCCTGCTGGCAAGCACAAGGTCCTGAGTTTGATTTCCCGTTCCAAAAAACAAAACAACAAACTGACCATTATAGATAAAAGTTCTGAATTGATTCAGGACATCAAGGTAGCCACAACAACCCAACTAAAGTCACTGTGAACAAGGACTTCGCGAACTGCTTCAGGAAGTAACAATAACAACGGAGTGTGTTCGAAGCAAGAGGAGCATTCTGAAGGGGATTAGTGGCAGTGTGTCTTTTAGTGTAATTTTTTTTATCTAAATACTTTGCATATTTTTCTATCATAAATCATACACTCTGATGTGTCTCTTACCTTTCTGTGTTTATATACAGCTTTACAGAAGCTGACTGTACACACAGAATACAACATTTCTTCATTAATGGCATCATTATACTAATTCATATTAAGACAGCACGGCTGTCAAAGTTAGTTCTTGATGAAATGGAGCTGTCCTTCTTTAACCATTACTGTGTACTTCTGAGTATATCTTCTGATATACACATATATCTTGCTCCCTATTTTATAAATTCCTTTAAGGTTATAAATTCCTTTAATTTATATTATAAATTCCTTTCAAATAATACTTTTCAAATTAGCGACAGATACATTTAAAGGATCTCAGTTTATATAGAGTGTGTATCCCAATTATACAAACAACTTTTCATAGAAAAATGTTAATGTTGGTCTAAAATCGAGAGCTGCAAAATCTCTTAAAGAAATGAAGCAACTCACTGTGAGGAGACACAGTACAAACTGAAAAGTTATGCAAAGGTTCAATGGGCATATATTGTTTTCTTCAATATAAAGTAAAGAGCTTCACAGATAAACGACTATAAAAGTTTTTCTCAATACAAAGTATATTTAGTGACTTTTTATTCTTCAACTCATTCAACAAATCTTGAATGCTTCCTGTTTGCAAAAAGAACCCCAGTTATATAGAGCACACACTCTAACAGTCACGTGTGCATCTGCCTGCTCTTGGGTAACAGCCATCTAGTAATGCAACGGCACAACTTCTGTGACAAACGAAACGCCACATACATCACTGAAACTGAAGCGGGCAGAACGCATTTATTTACTTTAAAGTAGCGTAGAGGGTTGTTCTTAATAAACCCACAGGAATGTTATGAAAAATAGGAAGCAAAATGTTTACATCTTAGTTTTATTTTACTTCTAATCATTTGATGCTAAAAGAGGTAAAACACAGCTACATTACTGATTGCAGGATTTTCTTTTAAGATCCCCAATTTTAAAACTGAGAGAAGGTAATCTTTTCCTGGCTTGTTTTATAAAGAAGTAATGGCAGGCATATAATTAATACCAGAAGTACTTATAATCATTTCCATTTAAGATAGAAAAGAAATGATGTACTCCTGAAGACCGACAGGTCATGTGGAATGCCAAGCGTAGAAATCACCAGTGGGTGTCTCTACGAACTCTATCAAGACAGAAGACATGGGAGGACATGAAGAAACACCTTAGTGCGATTAGGTGTTTCTGTATAAGAATCAGTTTGATTCTTCCTGTTTCCCATTATCACAACAGGAACTCACATCTGTCTTTAATGGTGTGGGGACTATATCATTTCATGGTTTATAGAACAGGCCCAGGAATAAAGGTGCCAGCTGCTCAAAGTAAACTTCTAGAAGTCAAAAGTTTATCACAGGCAGCTAGATTACCTGACACCAAACTCTTGGAAGACTCCAAAGTACCAGAATCTAGGAGGAGGCAGGATAAGGGTGGGGTGGGACAGCAGGCATCCTATTCTTGAGTTATATTTGGGAAAGAGATTAAGAAACTTCAGACAGCTCTAAACTCTCTACCTCCAGGGCTACTTCTGCCCCAAGTGGCTTGTTATTTCCATTTGAATATCCTGCTACCACTCCAAACACATTACTTCAAAAAAACTAAAGACTAAGGGCTGGGGGTGTAGCTAAGTGGTAAAATACATGCGTAATGTGGGGCCCTGGGTTTCATCCTCAGCATTGAAAACAAACTAAAAAGTGAAAAACCTAGCCTCAATCCAGACTCTCAACCTATCTTCTCTTCTGTCATTATTTTTCTATATTCCATATTCAAAAAACGTTCTCTTAACCTTACCACTCTCTCTCTATTCGGGCTGCCTTTTGAGGCCCTCTCCTCTCAACACCAGCCATGCCAACTTGCACCACTTCACACCTGCTCCATGGGAACACTTTCTGTGTTCTCCTGGATCCAATTTTTTCCAGAGCCAGTGTGTCCTCATAATGTTAATACACTAGCTTTCCCCGTATGTTCTCAAGACTCTCACAATCCACTGTTTATAAACCTTTAATGACTCTCTACTGCTAGGAAAATAAATTTCAGAATTTATTTTCCAAGATTCACTCCAAGTCAGTGAATCTCTTTGCCCATGTCACTAATATGAACCAGTATCAGCCCTCTGCAGCAGTTATTTTCCTCACTGTCTTTTTCACATACTAGATCTATGCCTCTGCTTTTGCCGTTTTTTCCTATTGAGACTGCCTGAACCTCTCTCTATGCAATTCTAAAAGTAAAATTATCTTGTGCAAACATCAATTGTATAAAGCTTTCTATCATAGCAGCCAATTTGTTGCCTATTATTTATCCACCAGCACTGAGGTCTATCTGTACTGTGTTTATCCTTTTTTTTAAACAGTGTTGGTGGTGGAACTCACAGCCTGGCTCATGCCAGACACTACCACTGATACACTCTCAGCTCCTTTGTTTATCTTAAACATGAATATATGTGTAAAGAAAATACATCTAACATGTATGTGTGTATTTCCTTTTTGCCCAAGTAAACTGTTATCCCAAGAAGGGTTTGTCTAAGCTTCTGTATTTCATCTTTGCACCTATTGAATGTGATAGGATTTAGCTGAGACATTTTAGTGAATGCTTATTTTAAAAATAACTATTAAGACAATACATATAATGTATATCTCTGTACATGTGTGAGGTTAACAGAATCTGATAAAAAGAAATGAAAAGGGCATGAGTTATTAATAATCTATCCTGAAACATACTCTATTAACTAGACAATGAAGTACTGAAAGATACCTTCAATTTTGGACTGTTTTTTAAAACATCAAGAGTGGCAAGGTGATCAATAAAACACTTTTCTAAGCACTGATTAAATAATCTAACATTCTTAACAGTGTACTTCTAGCTCCTTGCTGATGTATTACATTCAAAAGCTGTACCATTCATTTGAATCACAGAATATTTAATAGTATTTCAAACAGAGCACAAAGATTTAAGTTAATCTATATTGAGATTTAAATTATATCCTGAAATCAGTATTCACGGAACTAAAACAAGGGGACAACACAAGTATTCTTTTCTTCCTGTCAGCTAATAATTTCAAACTAAGATTCAGTTGTTTTACTTCTTTGAAGTAAAACTGCACTTGAAGAAAATGACACAACTGAGCTAAAATATTATTTTGAAGACTGTCAGTTTCTTTAAGTGAAATAATCTTACCTCGTATAAACAAACAAGGTTCCTTCCACATCAGTCTTCTCCTAAAAAAATAAAACACATAGCGTATGTATATTCTCTTAAGTCACAGAGCAGAATATAAACTTCTGATAGAATGATACTGCATCTCAGAGAGGTGAAGCTGCAGTATATAACCAGAGGGGCTATTCTTGGGAAGAGAGTTTTTACCCTAACTGGCTCCGCTGGGTGAGTAGCAGGGAGCAGTCATTCTTTTGTCACTATCTCTTTTCCAAATACAGTGTGGGTGACACATCTTTATCTGAAACAATGATGAAGTAAGTGTCCCATGGACTTTATGAGAAAGAGTGGCATATAATAAGTATGCTGCCTTTTCCTCCAGTCTCCAAACTGGGTATATGGCAAGCTGCAGAAAACCTTGATGTCTGCATTTCATCATCCTTCACTTTATTTCTCAGGTTCATTTTCCCTTGCCATATCCTGTCACCTATGAGAGCAGACGATCTGTCAATCGCTAGACAGAGGAAGGCAATGATGCAGTAGTTTTCAGATGAATAAATCACCTACTTGGTCTAGAATATTTAGAGTCAAATTTTCATTCAAGACCTTTGAAATAAAGTTAGAAGTGTTATATCAAGTTAGGACTCACGAACTGCCAGAGAAAATCTGGAGGAGACGGTAAAGTTAAAATAAATGTTCAGTTGGTTCATTTGACACCTTTTCCATTTTGCCAAAGGCAGGAACCTTGGCCCAATGATAACGTTCATTGATACAATGCACTTTTTTTCATGTTTAACGAGTAATCAAACTATTAGAATTCTGAATTTAAAATGTGCTTTTGCTATTTACATGGCTTAATTTCAGCATTCCACTTAACTCCTAATATTTTATTATTAACATTCATTACCAAAATTAAGTACTCTATTGTTCTGCAAAAAGATGGCCCATTTAAGAAAAAAAAGGTGCAACACCAAGGTAACAATTTTTAGGAAGCACACAAAAATTGAAAGCATGATTCCTTCACATGCATAAGTAACTGCAGCAATTTTTTTTGGTCAGTTTAGCTCAGTGTGTCTCAAAGTATGATCCCCAGATCAAGAGCAGCAGCAGCAGCAGCAGCACATAAAAACTTGTTAGAAATGCATTCTTGGGCCCTTGACTCAGATATGCTGGGGATGGCATCTAGCAATTTGTTTTTTAGTAGCTGTCCAAGTGATTCTGAAGCATATGAATTTGCACACTGCTGCCTGAATTCAGCAACACATTCTCTGTCTGTGGAAATATATTACAAGTCATGAAAACAAAATCCACTACAGTCTAAATTATATGCAAGTATCACAAAACATGGTTCATCAACAGATGAATGGTTAAGGAAAATGTGGTATATATATATACAATGGAGTACTACTCAGCTGTGAAGGATAAACTGGAGTCATTTGTAGGAAGGTGGATGCATGTTTAGACCATAATGCTAAAGGAAGTACATCAGACACATATTAAATATCACATGGTTTCTCTTATATAAGCAACTAAAGAGCAAAATAAAAGATGTTAGGAAATGGAAACTATTTAGGCATGAGAAATGTATCTGGAGATGAGGAAGACAGGAAGAAGGGAAAGAAAAAAGGATCAAGATGCAACATGTATATGTACCAATTCTCTATAGTGAATGTACTTGTTATTCATCGCAAACATATACTAGTAAAAAAGAGTAAAATTTAACTGGGAAATAAGAGTAAACACCTTTGCAAACACTACTTCGTAAGATTTTTAGTCTCAAGATGTTACAGAATATGCAGTTAGGAGGCCAGGGATATGGCTGAGTGGCACAGTGCCTGCCTGGCAAGTGCAAGGTCATGAGTTCGATTCCTGGCACTACAAAAAAAAAAATGCAGTTAGGAATAACGACCAGTTATGAAAATTTTAGCTTTTCCTAACATATAGGCATAGGTATGAAAGAGTTTATTCTTCAACTGCACTTAGTATGAAATTTCCATAAATCACCCCAATGTACAGTGAAAAGTATTATTTCTCAATGTGGCCCATTTGCCTCTCTGCTTTGGAAAATACTCTTAGTTAAAAAGAAAAAAAAATACAGAAGTATTACTTACCTTTCTCTGTAAACAAATACAGAATTAACTCCTATCTGTTGAGAAATCTATATAGAGTGTACTTTCCGAACTAAGAATTAAATTCAAACCCCTGGGGCCAGGGATTTAGCTCAGTGCCACAGCGCCTGCCTGGCAAGTGCGAGGTCCTAAGTTTGATTCCTGATACCAAAAAAAAAAATTCAAACCCCTACTCTGTCAATCATTGAGAAAACAGCCATGATAGTACAATAAATGCTACCAGCCTAAGAATGTGTGTTTTCAAAGTTTAGCTGGTCCAGATGGCAAGCATTTAGTAGTCCACAATGAAGAATCACACTGTAGAAACTAAATATTAGCTATTACCCAGTACAATGATAGGAAACCAAAGTTAGAATACAGATGGAACTAAGACCCTGAAGAACCTATGTGCACGGTCAAGATCACTTGTCAGCAGGGCAGAACATTTTACTGTCTCCCTGTATTTGACCTTCGACTGTTCACCTGGGAGGCCCAAATCAGAATATGTATCAGCACAGAAGAGCTGACAGCTTCTGACTCGTTTTACTTCTTCCTTGATGTAGCAAATTCCTCTTTCCTTCTAAAAACAACAAAAACTTCAACACCACTTTTTGGTCCTGAAAAATCCAAAATCAGATCTGTAAGAGGAAAGCCTTTCCTACAATTATTTTCTAACTCATTAACAAGCAAGTCACCTGACATTTATTCTCAGCCTGCCAGTGGGAAGGAGCTGTGTTTCAACACTGCAATACGGGTCTTGGAGCTGGGCTCTCACCCGATCAGACTGGGCTAGTTTAGTGTTCCGGGTCTGCTTCTCCCCTGGAAAGAGACAACTAACTGGTCTACGCCACTTAGCTCTTTTAAAGAAAAAACATACTTCAACAGCTCTGATACCTGGAAAAAGGGAGCTTTGGAAATATAAATTTCTGGTTTATTATGTCTGAGCCAGCTCAAGTTCATGCCTTTTCCTGATCGTTACAGTTATCCAAGAACAATCAGATTTTTTTTCCCTTTTTTTGTATAAAGTTCAGGGTTCGGGGTGTGGGGAATAGTTAAAACAAGGTTTTATTAGGTCTTCCTTAGATCTTTCAAGTATGGAGGACTTTTATGTTAAAGCATTAATTCATAGTCCTAAGGAACTTTAGTTAAAATTTTAAAAGTACAATTTAATTATATAATAATACACTATTATAAAAATCTAAGTATGAAGCAGCTCAAAATTCAGACTTAAAAATAACAAAATGGAATATAGATAGTGCCGTTTTATAAATTGAGACTCAGTACACTGACACTTTTGAAATAACTCAAAGCAATCTCAACTGTACTGATTATTCTAACTTAAAATAATAAAAAAAAAAGTAGGTCCCAATTTGTCTTGTCAAATCTGTCTCTAGTATTCATGTAATGAGTCACCTTTTAAGCCTTCAACAGTATCTAATGCCTGGGCCTCATTAGCCAAAGGTTTTGCTTTGGTGTGTTACATTTCCAAAAACTCTGAGTTATTTTGATACACAGAAAACCATTAGCTGGAAATACAGGGCACCAGTCATTCCAAGGCAATTTTTTTGAAGGCTAGCATTTTTGAGGCAACAAATCTTTGATGTAGGGTGTATAACAATATCTACACTTTGTAGGACGTTTAGCTTTATCCCTGGCCTCTATCCTGCAGATGCTAGCAACACCCTCTCTCGGTGACAAAATCCTCTCCCGATTCTGTCAAATGTCACCTAGGGGCAAAATCACTTCCAGCTGTGAGCCACTGTTCTAAGGACTAAAAAAGAGTGAAAATAATACAAGAAGTTATAGCCTTCAATTAACACAGGTACTGTGGGGCAGCCATCTTTCCTGGCAAAGGAAAAGTAGGCCTAGCCCTAAAATTTCCTACTCTAGGGGCTGGGGATTTGGCTCAGCAGCACAGTGCCTCTCTGGCAAGTGCAAGGTTGTGAGTTTGATTCCTGGTACAGGAAAAAACAACAACAACAAAAATAAATAAAAATAAAATTTCCTATTCCAATAGTGATATAATCATCCCTTTCCTATTTATTGGATGCTAGGGACTGAATTCAGGGCCTTGTGCCTGCTAAGCATGAATTCTTATTACTGAACTCTATCCTTAGCCTCATAATCCTTTTATAAAGCAGCTAATTTTCTGTGATCTTCATTCCTGATTTCTCTTCCTATAAATTCCTTGTGTCATTTATGTATTTTCAGTGTTGTAAGAATTCACATCTGCCTTCTTGCAAACACTTTCTCCTCCATTCTTGATGCTCTGTATACTTTTATTAAGTTTATATTCAAAAGGCTCCTAGCCAGAGCGATGGCATCGGGGACAGTCATGACAATTCCCTTGCCCCCAGCAACTACACTGTAGTTGAACTAGGCCCCATTCTTTTGCCTGGCTACCATAGCCTTGAAGATTAGTACTTGAAAGAATGACCTTTTACTGAATGAATTATGCCTGTCTGAAGGCAACAAGTCCAGGAAACAGGAAAACATAACTCCTGTAAATAATGCATGGTGACAGTTTTGCCTCTGGACAAGGCTTTTGTTGATGGGTTTCACTGGGCACCTAGTAAAGTTCTGCAATGATTTTAAAAGGTCTCTATCACACAGATCAAAGGCCTTTAGGAAATGACATTCAAGAGAAATGTTCTACCAAAGAGGTTAACAATTTATCAGGATTCTCCAGACTCTAAGCCTAGTGCCAAGTCAGCTTAGAGTCCTTTATTACAGAACTACACTATACCTTGGGCGTCTGTCTATAGAACCATAAAAACAGCCACATATAGGATAATACATGTCAATATCAATGCCTTTTCTATGAAAACTCAGGTGATAAGTTCTCCTGCTAACTGAGGGGCGGGGGATAGCTTCTCTCCTGATCAAATGATATGCTTTCTACTACAAATGATGGGCGTGTTAAGAGATCTCCATGTGTTTCTTTCGGGTTTGGCAACCAGAAGAGCAGACCTAAAATCTTTGCCCCATTTCTATTAAGAGCTTAGAGCAAAACTATCTTCTCCCATTTGGGGGATACATATATATGCTTTTCTGTTTTGTTTTTTGTGGTGCTGGGGATAAAACCCAGGGCCTGAGGCTGCCTAAGCAAGCGCTGTACCACCAAGCTACCTGCCCAAACCTTTACAGCATTTTTAATTTTTGCGTCAATGATTTTGCGTGTGTGTGTGGTACTGGGGACTGAACTCAGGGCCTCGTACATGCTAGGCAAGCACTCTCCCACTGAGGTGCATCACACCCCCAGCCTGAGTCAATGATTTTTCAGGTGAGTATTTATTACAGCCTGCTTAAGAAGACACAGTACATGTTAAAAAATGAATTTGCTAAATTTTCCTTAAATTGTGGGTTTTTTTTTTTCTGATTTGAGAAACTCCTCCGAAATCTGAAATCCTTTCAAGTAAGTTCTCATTTTTTAATAATTGTACGGTAACGTAACAGACAGATGAGTCTCACTTGGTACAAAACCAGTACGAAGAGAAAAGTTACATGTCCCTACAGCCAAGGAGACGGGTTACAAAATTACACGGGGCAATTCCAGCACAGAACTCCCTACGTGTTTCATGCTCCGACCACATTCTAGTTGTGGGAAAAAAAAATTAAACTTCCTTCCATTCACTGGGGCTCAGCTTCGAGAGAAGCGCTAGAAATTCAGCTACCGAGTGGACTCCAGCATCAAAGGCTGCAGTGTACTCACTTCCCCAAGATCACCAACCTCCTTTTGAATGTCAGACTGTCCCGCTTTGTCTTTCACTGGCCCATGTTTGCCTGGCTTGGTGTTTTCCCTGAGTACTTGGGATTCTCCCCTTCCATCAAGTTTGGAGCGCTCTCCGCCCCATCTAAGATGGTCGGTCCAGAGCCAGAACTCTTCTGCTCTTCTAGCCCGGCCCCCCCGACGGCCACCGATTTTACTGGCACAGCACTCCGCTTTATTTCCCCGGAGCACAGCGTCTTCCGGGAAACAGGTCCTTTCCTTCCTTCAGCTCTCGGGTCCCGCGCCTGACCGCGGGGGCCGGCGGTACTTAACGTCTTCCCGCAACTCCGGGAGGATTTTCGGGTCGACCTCCCTCCCCTAGCCCACTGTGTTCAATCCGCACAATTTCGGCTTCGGGCCCCGCTCCACCGCCATCGTAGGCGTGTCCTCCCTCACCGGCTCCTGCAACCCCGAGCGGGACCCCCGTTCCCGCTCCAGCCCTGCTCTGCACTGTCCCGTCGCGTCCGCACGCACCCACTCGTTGGCCCGATGGCCGAAAGTGTACAGAGCCACCTGGCTGGCCACGTCCACGATGCGGTTGATATAGGGGTCGTGGCGCTGCAGGGCGGCTAGGCTGATGTCGCGCCCCTTCCCTACCAGGCCGCCCGCCGCTACGGCCGCCATCTTCCTCCCTCCCTCCCGGACCACCTCACGGGCTCCAGAAGACACTCTCAATAGATCGCAGAACGAGCGAGCGGCCTCGCAAATGAAAACCCCGGCGACCACAGGCCCAAAGAGGTCTTCCGGCTCCATCCGCCCCGCCCTCTCCCCTCGCTGGTCAAGGCAAGGCATCACTAGTCGATGTTCGCATCTCTCGCTGAGGATCGTTGCCACTGGTAACGACAAGCCCCGGCCGGCCTTCTAAATCCCGTTTTCTTTCTTTCTCCTCCCCACCCCAAATTATTTTCTTTCTGCATGAGCTTTAGAGCTGTATGAGCTTTAGAGCGCAATAGGCTTTCCCCTTGGATGTGTTCGACGCCTTGGCATGTATCGTTTTTGGCGTTTCAGTGATCAAATCTTTAATAAATAAGCCTCAAGCATTAATAACGCTGAAAAGAAAGATCTGTGATTTCTTAATGTGCTAACGCGCAGTGGTTCTCAAGGTGTCCCTAACACCCGCCTCGGGGAGGGATGATTCCTAGGGACTCTTTCGGGGGATCTGCAAGGTTTAAACAATTATCCTAACAAGGCAGACTTATTTGATTTGTTTACGTTGACTTTTTTCATCAATGATGGAAAAACAATGGTGAGTAAAAGCGCTATGTCTTAGTCTGAACCGAGGCGGGGCACCAAGGGCTCCAGTGATCAGTGTGTTCCTCACTGCCAGATACTCTAAAGAAAAACAAAAACCAAAAAAATCCCAGCCAGACCCAAATGTCACTTGAGATTGTTCTATAAAGAACAAAATTAGTAAAATTACTAATTTCATCAAACTTCAATCTTTACGTACACATCTTTTAAATACTGTGTGGAAAAAAAAAAAAAAAAAAAAAAAAAAGAAGCATCCGTAAAGCACTCTGCTGCATGTCAAAGTACTGTATTTGTCTCCCGGAAAATTCTGTGCTTGAATTGTGAGCTGAGTTAGTGTGTTTGTTTGCTTGTTCTACTTTTATGGAACACTATTTTTACTTGAAAGAAATATGGGCAAACTGTGGTTATCCAGACACATGGTAGACAGTTTCAAAAACAAAGTTTGCCTGTCACTTCTAGAAAAATAGGAACAATTATTGTTGTTATTGGTAATACTTGAATCTTATGGAAGGAATTATCAGTTTAGAAAATATGTTATCTGAGGCTTGATAGCTTCCCAATACTTCAGGTATTTTCCGGTGAGACCAGTGGTATTAATCATTGCAGTTTTTAAAAAATGTCATGTAAGAAAAAGTGTCAACATTAAGATCTTCTTAACTCAGTGACTCAATATTTTCCAAGTGACCAAGTGTCTGATGTTACATAATTATGCATGGAGGAAAAGATCCATTCAAAGAAAATAGGAACTAAAGGATTTTAATGTACCAGAATATGAAAAGTTGATAGATACAATTCTGGAGAGCACATTGCAATTAATTTTCAAGAAAGTGCCATTTGTCAGGGTTTGATGTATTGTCAAAGAAAAAGATCTACAATTATCTCAACGGTCATTAGAATACTCATCCGTTTTTCAACTACATTATCAGTGTAAGGTCAGAATTTCTTTGTATGTGTCAAACTAAACACATGTGATAACAGTTACAGCCAAAAACAGAGAAGGGACTTCAGTTGTCTTCTATTAAGCCAGCTTTAAAGATATTTGCAAAAATATAAAACACTATTTCTTTGTTATAGAAAAATATTTTTCATGAAGATATATTACTTATATTTACACTCAGTACCTTATTGTATCTTAAATAAGTAAGTTCCCAATATAGCAAATATTTGTAGATGACTATAATTCACATAAAGAGAAGTTATTTGAGGGAGTCTTTGATAATTTTTAAGAGTATGAAGAGGTTTTCAGACTAAAAAGCTGGGAACCACTGATGTAAGCCATTTATTTAGCATCCTCATCCACACTGATGAACTCTTACCTATTTGATACTTGGTTATCATAAGGACTGTGCACCCTCTCAAAGCAGTAAATTGCACTGTAAACTTCGAATTCAGGACTTTAATTTTACTAAAATCCTTAATTAGGTCCTCGGTCCTCTCCACCCCAAAGCCAATGGGGAAGAATACAACAGGGGCTTCAGACTTTTTTTGGCTGGGATTGGAGTTCATTAGCAGTCTGACCCAGAACATATATTTATATCTGCTATTAACTAAAATAAAATAAAAGTTTCATGAAACAATAAGTGATGGATGGATAGACAGATATACATATGTTTACATATATATTTCATTTTTTAAAATATTTGCTGTGATTCCATGTGATTCCAAATACTCTAAATTGATTCCATGAGGAGCTAATGGATTCGGATCTGCATTTTGACAAACACAAGCGCCAGCAAGTGAGTGAGTAACCATACAAAGCAGCATGGTACTGTGTTACCTTGTTTCCAGTATTAGGGAGCTCTCCTTGCTCTTCATCCTGTACTTCTAAAAACAAGCTTAATTCACTGCATGGACGAAAAAGAACTTTGTGATTAACTTTTGAACTAGTATGATACTTTCTTTCTTCTTTAGCTCTTCCAATTTTGATTATTCAGTATAAACCCACAGATTCTACTTTGCATTTTTCTCACCCATACCATGGGACATGGCTTTCTTTTTTCCAGTTTTTAGTCCTTAGATACCACGTTCCATACACAGATCATTTTCCTCTTAATTTTGCAGACTTTCTTCCAGTAAACTGTAAAGAGTAAATCCAGCCCCAAAAGAACAGATTACTTTGGGCTCAGTAGAGAAGACAGGCAATACGGGGCGGTGGGGGGGAACAGTATAATATGTTAAATATTCATTTAAAATCAAGCTTTACGGCTTGAGTTTGGCCACAACCATAAAGCATTTACTGAGAACCCATCGGATGAAAGACATCCATTCATTCATTGTCCAGTGATTTACTGTTGCTTGTTGTGTCTGTACTGAAACAACAGGGCCGTGTCGTTCCCCGTCCCTGACCTCCTAAGTGAGCAAGATGAACGTCCCACTAATCTGTTTTATGTATATGAACAGCATAGATTTTTACATATGAACCACACAGCAGTATGGTTCTTAGAGGAGTGGGTTAATTTTGTTGTTGTTGTTAAAATTAATGAAGGAAACAGCATGTTCTCTGTTCTTTCTTTCTTTGTCAGTTATTCCCTTCCGATCATCCTTTGCCCATTTGTTCTCTTAGCCTGGAAGACCTTTTCCCAGAAGACTCCCCTCTCGTCTCCTTCCTTCCTGCAATCGTCTCTTCCTGTGAATGCTCAGTGGCACTCTACTGCTGTTTTGCTTAACTCACTTTATCTGGAATTAGAGCACTTATTTAATTATTTAATACGTTGCATATATTTTCCCCAATTCTAAAAAATGAGTCACCATAGTAGAAGAGAATTGCTACCAAACGCCTAGTCTAAAGGCAGCTGTTGCAACTGAATGACTTTAGCTTAGAATTTCTTGACAGGTAAGCAGAAAGGGGCAAATAGCCTCATATTTTTATGTGGTTATTTTTATGCCCTGGTGGTCTCCCCAGCACTCAGTCTGATGCCTTGTGCATAACAGCTATTCAGCAAATGCTTATTCGATGCAACTAAACCACGAAGTAGTTCACTTTACTGATTTAACACCACCATGTTCTAATGAGCTCTTGCTCTATGGAATGCTGAAATCTAAGCTGGGATAAAAAAGTAGACAGCAGTAAATCCTGATCTTTTAGAATTTACATTCTGAGAAAGAGAGAGAGGAAGACTAGAAAGGTTTTCTGTTGTGTTTTGTTTTTTAACTTGCAATATGATTTTTAAAACCTTTAAAGATTATACATCACAGTAAAAGAAAAAAAAGATAAATTATGCAATGATGTCAGCATTGCCACGCTGTTTCTCTCCCTGGGCCAACATAGCTTTATTCTTTTTCTATGTTTCTCTTTTTAAAAAAATTTTTTTTCCTAAATGCCCAAAGCTCTGACCTTCTCTGATGACGTCAGACTTCTGCCTGCTTTCTACTTGAATAATCTGTGTTTGTAGAACCCGTTCATCACCACTTATCCAAACACATTACATTATGGTCTTGATATTAGTAAAAGACCATTTCAAACAGGCAAATTCTTTTTTAATCCACATCACTTTCATTTCTATTGGCTTTCATGGAGCTGACGTACCTCTACTGTGTTTTCATAATGCTCATCATGATACCTTGAACAAACATTGGTGCCTTTGGGTTTCAAGATTATTTTATAATTGTCATTATGAGATTAAATATGTGCTACCGCCTGGTTTTATACAGTTGGAAATTGCAATTTAAAATGAGTTTGTACTATGATAAAAATGTCTGTATCTGGGATTTTTATACGATTGCAATGACTCAGACGAAATTTACCACCTAATCAATCAAGGCAATTGTAAATAGGTAAGATGGTGAAACTGTTTGAAAATAGGGATAAGGCTGAAAACAGGTTTTATAGCCATGCATGAACATTTGTATACAACTATAGACCAATTCATTGTCATTTTAATTTTAAAATACAAACGCACAGTTTCCTTTCTTACTGTAGTACTTTTCTTTGTTATGTAATTAACCTCTAAATTTTGCCTTGGTTTTATAGTAGGGTATGTTAGGATAAAAGGAGGAAGAGGAATTTCCAGGATGTCTCTGAGATTCTATCATTACTGAATCAGCTTCTGATGCTCTGCTGTGGTATCTGTATGAGTTGCCCCTTTTGCTAGGAATTTTATTCCAAAGGATGATGGGAGTGAAGCATGAACTTTCTCTCCCAGTGGAGAGAAGCAGTTTAAAGTAGTGTGGTATCAGTTGTTTTAAATGCCTGGTTCATTTTTTTTGTTTATTTATTTTTAAGCAGCAGAGCACGGTAGAAAGGGCACGGTAGAAAGGGAAAGTAGTTTAACCTCTTTCTATCTGTGTGACCTTCAACCAGTAACCTCACCTGAACTCTGGGGATTGTAATATCTGTCCTGCCGATTTCACAAGGTAAATGAGATCCAGTGGGAAAATGTACCTGAAAAAGGCTACAATCTATAAACTGTTCTGCAAATGAAAAAAACTATTTTTAGCAGTAGTCATAGCACTATCAACAGCATCATTATTAGCTTCATCATTATTTCTTTTTAAAAGCAGTTTTTTAAGATATAATTCACATACCATATTATTATTATTTTTCACAGAAGGTTAGAAGGGATATTTCTTTTAAAAAAAATTTTAAATTTTATTAGTACATATTTGCAGTTCATGCAGTATGCACTCATTTTGGGAGTGGTTACATGTGCATACTACAGATTGTTTCTTCTTTTTTTAAGTCCCTTTCCTTTTCCCTTCCCTTCTCTCCCTCCTCCTCCAGTTCCTCTATCCTATTTGCATTCTTGCTGATGTTATTAACCTTAGCTCATGTTATGTCATTGAATGTTTACATTAATTGAGATTATTAAGTTCCTGAACATGGCATGTCTTTATTCTAGTTATTTCTCCTCCCCCTCCTCCTCACCCGTCACCCTTGTTCCCTTGGTCCATTTCCCTATTGCAAGAGATCCATCCCCTTGTTCCCCTCTACCCATTCTTTAGTACTCACTTTGTTTGTACTTTGCCTCACTCAGATGAGAGATACTATATGGTATTTAAACTTGTGGGTTTGGTTTATTTTACTCAACATTATACTCTAGGTGTACCCATCTTCCTACACATGCATCAAATTTGTCATACGTTATAACCAAGCAGTATTCCATTATATATAGATAACACATTTTGTTTATCCAAT